CGGAAGGACAATAAAGCCGTTCCGTGACAATACTGGGTTATTCTGGCGAGTTCTTAGGGGAAAGTGGCATTCTCAGACTCCTCCCTCAGATTTACAACCACGTGGGGGCGCTGCAGCTTCTCTACTTCTCTCCACCTACCTCCGACCGGACCTTAGTTACATGGCGCCCCAGCCTCTCGGAGCAGAGGTTTTGAGTGTGGCCCTGGGGAGAGATGGTTTGAGAGAGATCAGGCAGCAGGCCTGTGGGTGACCCTGACATCAGCAAGGCTTTGTTGGATCACCAGGCTGACCTGCCCTGACCTGGCACTAGGTCCTGAGCATGTGCTCCACGCCCCTGGCTTCCAGCTGGGCGTGCCGAGATCAGGGCCCAGCAATCAAACTTGGATCCTGACCTCAGCGACCATGCTGTCTACACAGTGCTGATGACACAGCAATCACGTCACATAAAGGCCCTGGGATTCTGGGAGTCAGTACTTGAGAGGTGAGGCTGGGAGGGTGCACTGATCGGGCAGTGGGTGGGCGGTGAGGACTGCTGGGCAGGGTGGTCCCGGCCACGGCGGCCAGGAGGTCAGGGCACAGCGCGACCGTGGTGCTCAGCCAGGAGCGGTTTTGTCCTGTCCCCTGACCCAGTGCGTATCCGGAGACATTTACGTTTCTCACATCTGGGGAGGGGGTGGGAGTGGGGGGCCAGGGATACTGACATGTCCCACTGTGCTCCACGGAAGACCATCTGGCCTAAATGTAGCCGCTGCCCGGGCCTTGAGGGAGAAGGCCACAGAGAGGGGTGGCACCACGGAGCCAGCTATGGCCAAGGTCAAGGTGAGCTGCAGACAAAACCCAAAATGGTCCCCTTCACCAGCAACCACAGAGACACCGGCTCCAGCCCAACAAGGCATGGAGTTCCCCCACCCCCTCCCCATGCCAACCACTGATTTCTTCCTCTAGCCCAGGGGTCGGCAAACTCATGAGTCCACAGAGCCAAATACCAACAGGACAATGGTTGAAATTTCTTTGGAGAGCCACGTTTTTTTTAAACTTAAACTTCTTCTAAAGCCACTTCTTCAAAATAGATTCGCCCAGGTGGTATTTTGTGGAAGAGCCACACTCAAGGGGCCAAAGAGCCGCACGTGGCTTGTGAGCCGCAGTTTGCCGACCACTGCTCTAGCTCAGCGATTCTCCACTGGTGGGGTGGGGGGTGCTCTTTCCTCCACGGGAAGATAGTGGACGCGATTGGCCAAGCACAGGCAGACGGTCCTCGCGGCTTCCTGGGGGCCTGGTGTACATCGCGCGTCAGGAACCTAACAAAGGCCACTACGCTCTGACCACAACATTCCAGGGAATTTTTTTTTTTTTCCAAAAGAAAATCAGCAGCGTGTAGAAGTCTCCCTCGCCAAGTTCCTCATCACCATCATCCTCCGAAGTCAGGAGCGCGTAGCCAGCGGTGAGGAAATGGCGAGGCTTTGATCGGCCATCGGGCACGTCGTTTGGAAGTCCATAAACATGATCTCTGCAGAGTCATGCTAATGTCAGGAAATACAGATGACGCGGCGCCAAGAGGCCCAGGGGACATTACTGTGCAGCTGTAGCTCCAGGATCTCACAGAAAGCAGCAGACACTCAGAGCAAGAAAGGGGAGCCGGTTCACTAAAACATGAGCCATGGTGACTGCAGGGCACTGTGCTTTGTTATTCTGCCCGCTGCTGTTCTTGGTGCCCATAAAGTATTAGTGTCTGAAGGTCTCAGGTGCCTCTGCCTGGACCTGCTTCCTTCCCCTTCCCTTCCCTTCCCTTCCCTTCCCTTCCCTTCCCTTCCCTTCCCTTCCCTTCCCTTCCCTTCCCTTCCCTCCCCTTCCCTCCCTTTCCTTCCTTTCCCTCCCCTTCCCTTCCCTTCCCTTCCTTTCCCTTCCCTTCCCTTCCCTTCCCTTCCCTTCCCTTCCCTTCCCTTCCCTCCCCTTCCTCTCCCTTCCCTTTCTACCCACAGGGCCATTCCCAAGACCACTGCCCAACAAAAGTCCATAGCTACCCAGCTCCAAGGTGAATCCCCAGAGAACCCCACAGGCAGCATTGCACACAGGGTGGAGTTCATCTTGGAGGGCAGGTAATTCAGAATCAGCACATTACAACCTATGGGACCAAAATGGACCCCCCCACACACACCTGTTTTTATAAATAAAGTTTTATTGCAACACAGCCATCCATGCTCATTCATTCATTGTAACAGTGGCTACTTTTATTCCACAACAGAAAAGTAGTTTCTACAGAGACCACTTGGCCCTCCCAAAGCCATACTTAATCATTATATTTAGTCTTTAAAAAAAAAAAAAAAAGCTTGCTGCGGAATTGGTGTGGCTCGGTGCTTGGGCGCTGACCTATGAATCAGGAGGTCAGAGTTCAATTCCTGGTCAGGGCACATGTTCGGGTTGCAGGCTCACTCCCCAGTGTGGGGCATGCAGGAGGCACCTGATTGAGGATTCTCTCTCATCACTCATGTTTCTCTCTCTCCCTCTCCCTTCCTCTCTGACATCAATGAAAACGTACTTTAAGAAAGAACGCTTGCTGGCTCCCGCTCTGGGTCATTAAGACAAATCTCACTGGGAAGGTAAGGGCTCCTCACGTGTTTCCAGCCCCTCGGGACCAGAGGAGCTGAGTCTAAGGGCTCCGCACAGACACACGCAGGCTGCGACAGCGCCTCCCCGCGGGCGGCACAAGTGCTCCGTGAACTAAACCCACGGCCCCTGTGGGCGGAGTCTGTCACACAGGGAGACAGCCCTCCGCAGGGAACCCCTCTGCAGCCACACCGAACAGGTCAGTCCGAGACTGGTGGCCACGGGAAACAGGCCCGCCCGAGTTAGTGCAGAGAAATGGCCCGCCTTAAGGCACGCAAGGGGAATGAATGCCACACAATGATAGTAGTCGGTCATTAGCGAACGTTGTAGTTCGTTATTAATAATTATGTATATCAGAACATTGTAAAACAAGTTACAAAAATTTTAAAAATGTTTCTTATGTGCTGTTACATTGGCTGGGCTGCAAAATATTCGTTGTGGGCCGCTTGTGGCCCGTGGGCGGTGAGTTTGACATGCTCGGTGTAGGTTATGCTAGGACAGGGCGGATGGGGCAGTTACAGCATGTGAGCTGTGCCTACACATCCCAGGCACGGATTCCACAGCGTGGCCACTGGGAAGAAATATGTCCCATTGCACATCAGACTCTGAGGGACAGAGCCCTGAAGGACAGGGACAGTGAGTGAATGTGTGTGTGTGTGTGTGTACATGCATTTGTCTATACAGGGTGGGGCAAAAGTAGTTTACAGCTGTATGTGAAACAGAGTTTATTCTTGTATTATTATTCAGTAACTAGAGGCCTGCTGTGTGATATTCATGTAAGAATAGGCCTTCCTTCCCCTGGCTTTGCTCCAGCCACCCAGGAGCCTGCAAGTCCTCGCTCCCGGCCAAAGCTCCTGTAGCTCCCTCCGCTGCCACCCCTCCTCCTCATAGCAGGGGTCCCACCCCTCCCAGCTGCTCCACACCTGCTTATGCAAATCAACCCTTCATCTTTGTCAGGTTAATTTGCATAATCACTCCTGACTGGCTGTGGGTGTAGCAGATGCATGGTCAATTTACATGTTTCTCTACTATTAGGTAAGATCACTGTGTTATTCTTCATGGAAACACTGTTGCCCCGCCCTGTAGGTGAGGGGTGGGCCCCACACAGTGAATCCAAGGCTCTGCAGCTTTGACCTTCTGGGCTAAGGGACCCAGAGTCACACAGAACCTCTTTCCCTCACACATTTCGCTTCAGGCAAATAAAGCGGAAATTTCCTCAAGCCAGAGGCACTCTTTGAGAACCCCAAATGCACGCCCGTCCCTCCCCTGCCCTCCGCCCGCATGGCGCAGGCGTCCCGATGGTCGAATCCACCCGGGAGTGTGTCCCAGGCCTGAAAGATCTCCGAGCGCTGGCTAGACATAAACTTGTCAAATTAATTGCAGCCTTTCATGTCTGCGCGCATTACAGCTTTAACATGTTTCACAGCCACTCTGGTTAATTAACACGGCGTTAATGGGCGGAAATCGCACCGTGAAACCATCACGCACAGCTGCCCTTCCCGTGCTAGTGCCGTTACCTTTAAATATCTTTCCCAAGAGGGAAGTCGCTCATGCAGACGCCAGAGCCGCTCGGAGAGTGAAGCAGAAAATCGAAGTTTGCACAGAGAGAGAGCTCGGGTCTCTGGCCGAGGCCCCGTTCCCACCCAGCCGCTCGGAGAGGGGGCGCCCAGCAGGCCCAGGGGCCCCGCCTGCCACGTGACGTGGGGGCAGAGCACATCCTGGCCCAGCGGTTCCCGAAGCGCGGCCGAGGAGACAGGAAACTGCTGCTGCGGCCTGGAGAGGCCCAGCGTTGCTTCCTTTAGAAAATGCTCTGTAATTATAACACACACATTCACATATAATACACTCGCACACGTGCACACACACACACACATGCACAATCACACATCCACACACGTGCATGAGCATACACACATGCACACACATGCACACACTCTATTATGGAGCCAACCCACCAATATCAACCGTCTGATTGGCAGTGAAAAGGCAGTGCTCAGCGCTCTGGGCACGGTCGAATGTGCAGACGCAGGGACCACGGACAACCCTTGGGGCAGGGCCCTGTCCTCGCCTGCCCTGGGACCATGTGGGGCCATGCGACCCTTAGGTGCCCTGGGCCACAGCTTCTGCCGCTGCACTTGGTTTGGACGTGTCGTTGGGACCAAGGGTGGAGGGCCAGCCCTCCTGTCCCAGGATCCTCTCCGGGGAGCCCCCAGCGCCGACCCCACAGGGCGTGGCCATGGCCTGGAGCGCAGCGGGGGCCTGAGCTGCCTCTGAGGGCCGGTGAGTGACTGAGAAGCCGCTCTTGGCCACCTGGCCGGCTTCGCACCCGGCACCTGGCCTCGGGGGGGGGGGGGGGGGTCTGTGCTGGGCCCACCTGGGAAGCGAGGGCCACTCACCTGCCCGGTAGCTCCAGCCGGGAATGTGGATGGACAGCTGGTTGGTGTGGGCACTGGCGTGGCCACCGGTGTGGTGGCCGCCGGTGTGGCCGGGAGTCCCGTGGTCCCCGCTCCCCTTCCTCGCAGTGATCTGCCCAGTCCCCGCCTCTGCGAGGTCTGTGCTTCCCGTCGGAGGGGGGCCACGCCAAGGGCATGTGCCGGCCCCCAGCTGCCCCTGCCCCACGGAGGGGTGCAGGGCGGGGGCCCAGCGGGGCCCCAGGAGGCTGGGGCCCTCCGCCAGGGGCTGCTTCAGGCCGCCGCCCATTGGCCCTCCGGAGGCTGGGCCGCCTGCCCCCTCTGGTGTCAGCCTGTGGGAACTGCAGTTCAGGTGGAGCGACAGGACAGACCTGTGCTTCTGGGGGCCGGCCCGCTGCGATGGCTCCTTGGGGACGGAGAGGGACCGGTCCGGAGAGCAGGGGGCGATGGGGCATGGCCGAGACACCCTGAGGTGCACGCAGGAGCTGAACAGCAGCGGGCCCTGCCCGGACGGCCTGTGGCCGGAGAGACTGTCCTCCTTGTGGTCCCCGCCGGCCACCCAGCACTGGTGTCCGTCACACAGCCGTGCGTGGGCCTCGGGGAACTCCAGCCGCATCCCGGGGCTGCTTCCGGAGGGTTCCGTGCAAGCGAGAGGTCCGTGGTGCCGCCCTGGGTCAGCGCTGCCGGCCAGAGCAGGGGGGCCGCTGGGCCGAGGGTCCGGGGCCCTGCACCGGGTGCACAGCGGGTCCCCCCCAAGCCCCCACACCAGGGCCCTGGCGGGGGGGCCCACGCGCCGGGCGGTGATGGTGATGGATGCGAACCCCCGCTGGGGGCTGCCGCCCGGCGGCCACGCCTCCTCGGAGGTTTGCGCGGGCACAGGTGCAGGCACCCCCGCGGGCGGCGGAGGGCCTGGCTTGCCGGGAAGCAGCGCGAAGGCCCGGCTGATGGCGACTCCGCTGCGGGTGGCCAGGGCGCACCTCCCGGGCCACGGGGGCGGCTGGGCGCCGGCACAGGGCACGGGCACGGGCACAGGCACGGCGGGCCCCTTCTCCACAGGCTTGTGCTCATCCATCAGCTGCGAGATGACCAGGGAGGAAATCATCTTCGTGTTCTGGGATGCCAGCGCCTCCTGCAGACGGAGAGAGAGGGCAGTTATTCCAGCCTCGTCCTCCACGTCCTCCCAGCGCCGGCCCAGGCTCTCTAAGGCCGCAGGGCACTGTGCCCAGCACTCTCCTCCGAGGTCTTTACCCCCTGCCAACGCCGCCACCCCTGCGCCTGCAGCCGGATCTGTGTGCGGACCGAGGGCCATCCTGGACGCAGCCAATGCTAGTGGGACCATCCCCCCCTCCCCACCCCTAGTGTTTATGGTGTTTGTGGGAGGGGAGCACCTCGTTTCCCTAATCACAGGCCCAGGAGCACCTGGTCAGACCCACAGCCCACGGCTGGTCCTGACAATCTGAACCGTGGGTGCAAGGTGCAAGATGGCATCTAAACACACCTTAGGAACAGCAGCCCCTTTTCAGAAATTACTTTCATTGATGTCAGAGCGGAAAGGAGAGGGAGAGAGGGGGAAACATCAACGGTGAGAGAGTCATCCATCAGCTGCCTCCTGCACGCCCCCTACTGGGGATTGAGCCTGCAACCCAGGCCTGTGCCCTTGACCAGAATCAAACCTGGGACCCTTCAGTCCACAGGCCGACGCTCCATCCACTGAGCCAAACCGGCTAGGGCTGGGGCGACTATTTTTAAAATCGGGCAGGTTTTCCTTAACAAGCAATCACACCCTTCCCATCAAACATCTCCCCCAGTGAGGCAATGGCGGTGCGTCACCCCATCTGTCCTTCCCTGAGCATGGCTTTGAAAACAGACACCTTTTATCTGAAATAAAGCGCGCTGGTGTGAGATTTCGTTCGAACAGGAGAAAACCATCTGATATTGAAGGGGCGCTTGAGGGCTGAGGGGTGGATGGTGAGCTGGCTGTGGCTCTCGCTTTGCTGGCTCCTCCCTCCCCCCACCCCTGCCTGGGCAGGAGGTGGGGCCGCCGCTGTGAGTGAGGACCCTCGGGGGAGCGCGGGCCCGGCTGGGCAGAGCAGGATGCAGACCTGGGCCGGACTGGCCCAACTGTGCCGGCTCAGAGCCTCAGCGTGGCTGCCACTTGTCATCATGTGTTGGCTCTGCTCAGAACTCATGAGATGTTTCAGGTCTCATGTCCGCGTTTCACAGAAAGCAACCTGTGTGCGTCCTCTTGGAGGTGGGCGCAAAGGGCACCCACGCCCGGGGCCACGCCCCCCTCCAGAGGTGAGAAACGCAATTGTCTCCAGGCATCGAAAGAAAGGAGACAAAACCTAGGGCCCCGATGGCAACATTCACCAGATTCTTAACGGGGAGAGGGAAGTCCCCAAGCCAGTCGCACAGCCTGTTTTTAGCGACGACGGGGAGGAGGAAGGAGGTGCTGACACCTCCACGCCCCCCAAGGCGCGGGAGCGGCCTGCGGACAGCCAGCAGGAGCCGCATCGCCCCGCCTGGGAGTCACTGGTCGGCGTCGGTGCGGACGGGACAGCAGGCGGCTGTTTGTAAGCTCACTGCTCTCCGAGCCCATGGCTCGCCCCGACCTTCCCCACACCCTGGCCATCGCTCCCTCCCCACCGCGGCCGAGGCTGTGGGAGATGCCTGGTCAGCCCCCCACCCCCGAGGACCCGGAGGCCCTGGCACAGCACCCCTGGAGGAAGGTGCGTCTCTCTTCCGATAAGAGTCACACCTGCGGGGAGAGGACAGCCACGCCCTCCCCACTCGGGGTGGATCCCGCGCGGCTCCTGAGCCCTCGGCCTCCTTCCAAAGGCCGGTGCGCTCAGCTCAGCGAGAAACCGGCCATGCGAAGCCGTCACCGCCCTCGGAATGACACGGGCTCCTCCGGCCTGAGCTCAGGAACCTCGGAGCCTTCTACCCCCTGTGATGACGTCACCAGAATGTCCGTGCCCCCCTCGGGGGAGGGGCGTGCAGTCCGCCTGTGCGTCTCTCTTAGCAGGGACAGAAATCACCACGTTGACGTTTATATCTGAGGCCCCTCTGACAAGTCAAAACAAAGCTCACACAGCCACTACTCCAAAGGTGTGTCGTCCTGGCTGGTGTGGCTCAGTGGACAGAGTGTCGGCCTGCAGAGCGAAGGGGCCCGGGTTTGATTCTGGTCAGGAGCGTAGGCCCAGGTTGTGGGCTCCATCCTCAGTAGGGGGCATGCAGGAGGCAGCTGATCAGTGAGTCTCTCTCATCACTGATGTTTCTCTCTCCCACTCCCTTGCCCTCCGAAATCAATAAAAACACACTTTTTAAAAGATGTGTCCAAGAGCTATTTTATCCACTGCCTCCCTCAGATGCCCATTTCTCCTCTTTCTCCAGCTTCTCGGGACTTACTTCCCACCTTGGGTGAGAATTAACAAAAAAATACATACATGAAAAAGGTCATGGTGCTCATGATAATGCAACAGTTTTACCCTTGATTGCAAAATCAGAAACCGGAAACGAGACTGATGAGCTAGAAGGCGTTTCGCTGGTGAACCTGGACTTTGGGGAGAGAGAACTTTGCTAATCAGGGTCTCCCGCTGACACCCCAGGGTGGTGCCTGCGCAGGCGCTGGGGGAGGTGCCAGGCGGCACTGGCATGGACGCCGGGTGCAGGAATGCACCCAAAGGAGCCAAGGCCAAGGTTTGGCAGCTCCGGGGGAACAGGCACAGCGGGAACAGGCGTGGCCCTGAGGGGCATGGCAGCAAGAGAGACCAGGGAACAGAACCCGCTACAGCTGTGGGCGGAGGGGAGCTGGGAAGAGAGCCGGCAGCTCTGGCTGCTGGAGAAACAGGTCCGGCAGGACGGGGCGGGCCGAACATGAACTTGAGTGAGGGCCACACCACCAGCCTCACGGGCTCTCCTGCAGCAACACCGACCCCAACCAACGGGGCTACGGGGCCAGAGACACGCTCTGCTCCGAGGTCAGAGGTCAGCAGCTCGACAGGGGAAACCCTCACGGGCTGGGCCCCACGCAGGGTCACTTGTGGGGGGACCAATAAAACCATTGCAGTAAAAACACGACCGAACCGACCTTTACTTGTGATACATAAATAATAAAAAACACAAAGCACATATTTTTTGGAAATAAATGGGAGATGGCAATGTAAACACGAAACTACGTCGAGTTCAATGTAACCCAAGGACTGCCTATATATATATATATATATATATATATATATATATATATATATGCCTAAATGACTGTTATGACCAGTCACTATGACACACACTGACCACCAGGGGGCAGATGCTAAATGCAGAAGCTTCCTCCCGGTGGTCAATGCACTCCCACAGCCAACCTCCCAAGGTCCCTCCCTCCAGCCAGTCCCTCCCCCAGGTCAGCTGGCCAACCTCCCACAACCTCTCTCCTTTTCCCCTACCCACCCCCCCCCCAAGTCTGCAGGCCCCATTGGGCAGGCCCAAATTGGCTCAACCCTGATCAGGACTGGAAGAGACAGCCCTAATCGGCCCTGGACCGGCCAGGCCTAGGGACCCCACCTGTGCACAAATTCGTGCACCAGGCCTCTAGCAAAATACAATTGTCAGTCTGAGTATAAATGTATGTGGAAGAGAGACCAGCCAAGGTGACCGTGATACGAGCGAGATATTGCCTTGCTACAATACCTACTGAAACATACTCCATTCCGTTAGAACAACGGGGTGTCCGCAGAGGAGATGATGGAGCCATCAGGGGAGCAAAACCACGTGAGATGCCCACACACACACACGGGACGGTGAAAGGGACCTTTCAAAGCAAACGGACCAGAACAGCACATAACCCCGGGCGCTCCTGTGAGGATAAAATCACAGTCCGGCCATCTTTACAGCCACACACAAAACTAAACTGCGAAAGGCTTAAGCGCATACACATAAAGGAGTGACATTAGAGAATAATGGGAGGCTATGTTTTGTAATATTGAAAGTCTCCTGAAAGGAGACAAAACACCCGGAGGCCATAAAAGGGGAACATCTGATGATAAAAGAGCCAGTAACTTTTATATGGCAAATGTTACTACTTAGCAAATTAAAGGACACGCAGCCGGCTGGAAGGAAATGTTAACAGCATCACTGCCCCGCCGTGAAAGTGCCGCAGGATGCACGCACCCTGCTGTGCAGCCAGCGCGCCGCGACAAGGAGGGGCACCTCGGGGGTAAAAGCCCGTTAGGAAAGGGGGGAAGGAAGGAGGGGACACGGTTCCACAGAAAAGTGGGTGCAACGAGGTCACGGGCATTAAACGATGCTGGAGCTCTTCGGCAATTAGGAGGATATAAGTTTAAAACATGCTTACCTAAAAGAGATAAAAGCAATAGTTTGTGCATCAAAGGGTATTATTGAGAACGTGAAAAACACTACCTACAGAATGGGAGAAAATACTTACAAACCACAGCACCAACAAGGACCTGGAATCCAGGCTACATAAAGAACTCTCGCAACTCACTGGCAAAAAGACAAGAAGCCCGATTTAAAAGCGGGCAGAGGACTAGAAAGGACAGTATTCAAATAGCCGTCGTGCCCATGAGGAGATGCTCAACATTGTCAGCCGTTAAAGAAATGGAAATCAAAACCTCGGTGAGAAATATTACCCACCAGGCGATTATAACAAAGTCCAAAGCAGCACTAACAGAAGACAAGATAGGAAGCGCAGGTGGGATGCGGGAAGCATCCCGAGACACGGCCGGCGAGGAGACAGAGGGGCGGCTGCTTTGGGAACAGTCCGCCGGCCTCAGAGAGGTAAGCGTGGAGTCCCATGTGACCCTGTGACCTCATGTGCATACCCCGAAGAGTGGAAAGAGACTCAGACAGATGCTTGTATGCACATGTACCTGTCAGCGTTGGTCACGAAAGCCAAAGGGTGGGAGCAACCCAAGTGTTCCTAACCAATGGATGGATGAACACGTGGGTACACGTCTGCACAGTGGAGTCCTGTGCAGCCATGAACAGGCATGAAGCACAGATTCCTGCTGTGCCATCCTCAAAAATACCATGTAATGGAAGAAGCCACAGAAACATCATGTATGTAACAGGAGCCAGGCACAAGCATCATGTGTGTAAGAGGAGCCACACAAATGC